TTTCTGCCATGAGAGTGGTATCATCTGCATATCTGAGGTTGTTGATGATACCACTCTCATGGCAGAAAGTGAAGAGGAACTAAAGAGCCTCTTGATGCGGGTGAAGGAGGAAAGTGCAAAAGTTGGCTTGAAACTCAACATTAAGAAAACTAAGATCATGGCATCCGGTCCTCTCACTTTCTGGCCAATAGATGGGGAAGAAATGGAGGTAGTGACAGATTTTATTTTCTTAGGTTCCAAGATCACCACAGACGGGGACTGCAGCCAAGAAATTAAAAGATGCTTGCTCCTGGGGAGGAAAGCTATGGCAAGTCTAGACAGCATACTAAAAAGCAGAGACATCACCCTGCCAACAAAAGTGTGTATAGTCAAGGCTATGGTTTTCTCAGTTGCAATGCATGGTTGTGAAAGCTGGACCATAAGGAAGGCTGAGCACCAAAGGATTGAGCCCTTTGAATTGTGGTGCTGGAGGAGACCCTTTAGAGTCCCTTGGACTGCAGGCAATCAAACCAGTCAGTCCTAGAGGAGATCAACCCTGACTGCTCTTTAGAAGGCCAGATAATGAAGATGAAACTCAAATACTTTGGCCACCTAATGAGAAGGAAGGACTCCCTGGAGAAGAGTCTAATGCGGGGAACAATAGATGGCAAAAGAAGAAGGGGACGGCAGAGAATGAGGTGGCTGGATGGAGTCACTGAGGCAGTTGGTATGAGCTTGGGTGGACTCTGGGAGATGGTGGAGGACAGGAAGGCCTGGAGGAGTGTTGTCCATGGGGTCACGATGGGTCGGACATGACTTCGCGACTAACAACAACAACAACATATTGTTCTGGGGGAAAAAACAGAAACACAATAATAAAAAAAACACACACAAACATGTTCACAAATAGAGATGTTCCTATAGCTTGCTTCAGAATAAACCATCACAGGATTCCAGTGCAGCTTTCTCTTTTCATGAGTGGTATATTAATCAGTGACTGTGATTCTCCCAGTCTTCAAAATTGCATCACTCTTTTCTCAGAGAACACTTTTCTGCTATTCTTCCCCGCTGTCAGAACGCTGACAGGAACACTGAAATTCTTTCAAAACACTGGAACATCAGCAGTAGTCTCACTTCAGAATGAACCTGAGCATGCCAGCAGCTGCTGCTACTACAGATTTTTGTAGAGCAGAAAAACCTTGAACACTTTCAAATCACTGCTCATAATGTCACCAGACAAATGAAACACACACTTTCTTGACAAGCCTAAATGAAGTACATCAATAGTATTCCCTAGAATTCAAAGAAAGAGATGATAAACCAAGCTGCAGCTTGGAAAAAAGGTACAAACATGTCAATTTTCAGCACTTTTAACCTTGCTTATTTGTGGCAGTTTGAATCAGATTGGCCTGACATTTCACACAAATGTAGAATGCATAAACCCTAACTCAACAGGTCTAATTTTTTTAAAAGCCTATAGTTTATAATAGCAGAGCTTTTCTTCTTTTTGCAACTTACCTTCACTAAAAGGTCACTTCAAGTCACATGACTACTTAAAATGAAAGGTGAATAAACCCTTATTATCAATAACCTTTTATTATGTATGTGTGGATCTAAATAAAGTTAACTTCTATTACTAGACATTTAGCTATTATTACAGCATAATACATTGTAATTATATTGTATTATTAACATATGTATAACAAGAAGCATGATAAAATGCAATTTTTTGTTCCTTTCTTAATGATTCAATGGATTCTTTTCTGTTTAAGCATAATCCTGTGGCAAGATTAATGGACTGACAACTACCAATAAAATCATATTGCCCAAAGACTTTCTTCTACTCAACCCACATTCACATGGACACAGGCAATACAATGAGCCACATTAAACAGTTGGTTTTTGTTATTGTTGACCTGTGGTTTATCTTTTTCTCTGAACCCAGCAGTGCCTATGGCTTGCTGTTGGGTTGTGAAGTGTGGGTCTTTGGTCATGGTTTGTTATCACAGCTGGGCTCCAAAAACAGTATAGCCCACATTTGAACAACCACCCATGGTCCAATGCCAATCCACCTAAATACAATTCTTGCATACCTTGATTGAAATTAAAGGTGTTGAGATTAATATAGATACTGTAAAGAAAAATAAACATAGAAACAGTATATAGTTCGTGCCCATATATAAAGCACAACAGTTTGATGATTAATAATTCATTTTACATAGAATCGATGGGGCTTGATGCCCTAGAGCAGTGGTGGTGAGCCTATGGCATGCTTGTCACCCCTGGCACATAGAGCCCTCTCTGTTGGCACGTGCGCCAAGTCGCCCCAGCATCGCCCCAGCAGTCAAGCATCGGACAACAGCACACATAGGGGCCATGCACACGCTTGAAAGGAGTGGTGGTGCCAGACGATGATGTCACAAGCCACGACTCATTAGCTGTGATTCAGCTGAGCTTTCCCATGGCCAGTCAGTGCACTGCCAATTTGCTTGGACTGGCTGTGAGGTGCTTTTTCTAAATTAAAACCTCAGTTTTCAGGATTTATTCCAGTGTTGGCACTTTGCGCTAAATCAGTGGGTTTTGGGTTGCAGTTTGGGCACTTCGTCTCTAAAAGGTTCACCATCACTGCCATAGAGCTAGAAGGAGCTCTGCCAGTCCAAACCCCTGCTCAATGAAGGATCTACACTGCAAGGTGCACCTACAGCCTTGCTGACAGATGGCCATACAGCCTCTGCTTAAATACTACCAGCAAAGGAAAACGTACCACTTCTAAAGGCTATCTGTTATATCTGCTGAATAACTCAACCTGTTTGGACAGTAGGAAGTTCAGAAGTTAGCCAAAACTTGCTTCCCTAAAATTTCCAACCATTCATTTTAGCTCTGCCTTCTGGTGCAACAGACAAAAAGTTTGCTCCATCTCCAGCATGACCGACTTTCAGATATTTGAAGACTGCCATCATGTTCCCCCTTAATTGTCTCTTCTCTGTGCTAAACACATCAGCTGTTTCAATTATTTCTCATAGAACTTCTTTTTCAGATCCCTCATTATTCTGGGTGCTCTTCTACAGACATAGTTACCAATGTCTTTTTTAAAAGGGACACCCAGAAACTGGATGTAGAACTACAAACGTGGCCGGACTATGCAGAACAGAGCAAAACTGTTATGTCTTGCAATCGGCACATCATGCTTCTGTTAATGTGGCCCAAGACTGCACCTGCTTTACAGGCTGCCTCATTACACAGCCAGCTCATATTGATTGCCAAGCAGCGTGTTCAACAGTTCAGTGAATACCATTTTTGCTGGAAAGGCAAGGTATAAATCAAATAAATAAACAAGTCAATTCAACAGTTTCCATTGACTTCAATGCAGAAATCACCTACAACTTTTAAACTTGTATATCATTACAAGTATGTTGAGCTAGTATAACCAAAAGTGTTACAAGGGCTAAGAGAAAGACATAGTACAAGTCCAAAGGCAGCCTTTAAAATATTTTCAGAAAGAAAAGAAATTCATCACTGAATATTCTAGAATCTAGACTCTAAATGAGTGCTTGAGCATCAGGCACTTAAATCAAATCCAATTTAAATTAATACATTCACTTTAAAAATAGACTTATAATTAGGTTTTGTTGCCTATATAGGCATACACTCTCTGTATATTCTTAGTCTCTTAATATAACATTTTTGGCTATATGCCTGAGCTAAAAGTTATAGAAAACTGGGAGTCCCAGGTTCTTAGCAGTTATGATGAGTTATTAAAACAATGGCTCTGTACTTCTGGGTAATGAAGTATTTGGTAGCTTAGGTGGCCCTATCCACCTAAGCTATCAAATACTTCCTGTCTGGGAGGAGACCCTGTCTGAACCACAAGCTCTTTTTGGAGTTTCTGTGTATTCCTCTGCCCCAATTCCTAGCTTAGTTCTTTGGTTCTTGTTTGACTCCTGGTTCATGACTTCCAGTTTGCATCCAATAACTGTTTGGGTGGCTGGGCCCTGGCAGACTGAGTAGCCCGGAATTCTGGTCAACTTCTATTATCAATATTGTATAGTTTATAGTTTACTTTCATTTTTTCATGCTGCTTCCCTTACCTTCTCATATCCTCCTTTATGTGCAAATTGATGAGTTCCTTGGGAATATGAAAAGAAAGAGTGCTCTCAGACATCTGTTCCCGTACACACATCCACTTGTTGTCAGAAGTGGGGAATCTATAGAACTTACAGATCGGATTTTTTAACACTGCAAAAGGGGGAAAAATGATGGGATTGCTTAATTGCAGCTATGTTTTTGTTCAGATATTGTTCAAATATTGATCTCTTCCCTTCCCCCCCCCGTTTCAAACATTAAAGTCTACAAATACATTCACCCTACTTTTAATTTATTATCCATATTTCAGTAAGTTAAAGGCAGAGTCTGTTAGGTTCTGCTCTCCAACAGAATTAAATTAAATTCTCCTAAATACAGTAGATGTAGTATTTATTACTTTCAGCTGCAATAAGATTAAACACTCAGGTTTGCAGGTGGCGGTTCCTAAGATAAAAGAAAACCTAACTGAAAAACCTCAACAAGCAGGTGGCACCATTAAGACATGTGGTATTCTCTCTTGTATCCTCATCCAGGTGAAAGTGAAGCTAGACACAGTGGTTGTATACAGACACATACCCGTATTTAAAGGTCTCCAATATAGCTTCTTTTTAAGGCATGCAGAATAGGTCATTAATATATGAGAACTATCATTGTTGTTACATGCTGTCAAGTCATCTCTAACTTATGGCCACCCTATGAATGAATACCCCTAAAATGCCCTGCTCTTCACAGCCATGCTTAGCTATTGTAAACTCAAGGCTGTGGCTTTCTTTATGGAATTGATCCATCTCATCTATTCCTGACCAACTTTCCTTAGCAAGTCTTCCTTGGTGAATCTCCCCTAGTGAGTCTTGCCTTTTCATGATGCACCTGAAGTAGGGCAGCTTCTGTTTTGTCATTTTCTTTTCAGGAAAAGTTCTGGATTGATTTGTTCTAAGACTCACTTGTTTGTCTTTCTGTCAGGCCAGGGTATTTGCAAAGCGGCACCTTTAGCACCCTGTTCTGAATACACTGTTCAGCTTTCACATCCATACATGGCGATCAGGAATACAATAGGGTGGATGAACCTGACCTTGGTCTATGGTGAAACATCCTTATACTAATGATTTCCTCTAGTTCTTTCATTGCTGCCTTTCCAAGTCTCATTCTCTAGAATTTCTTGGCTGCAGTCTCCCTTTGAAATGATGGTTGAGTCAAGTTATGCAAAAGCGTTCACACCTTCTTAATTGTTGACCTTAAAGTTATTTAATTCATTTGTAGTCATAATTTTTGTTTCGTTCAGCTGCAGTCCTGCTTTTGCACTCTGTTCCTCTACTTTCAAAGTTGTTCCAATCCACTGCCCATTTCTGTCAGTATGATATCATCTACTTATTATTTACTGATTTATTATGTTTATATTCTGTCTTGTTTTAAGAACTCACAGTGGCTTATGTAATTCTCTTCCTGCGCTCAAACTGCCTAACCAGCCTGCTGAGAGTCTGTGATTGAGCCAAAGTCATCCAGTTGGCTCCACGACTGAGCAGAGACTAGAACTCCGATTGCCTGAGCCCCAGTACCATGCTTTTAACCACTACATCACATTGGCTCTCATCATACCTTAAATTACTGATGTATCTTCCACCAATTTTTACCTCTATCTCTGATTGTAATCAAGCTTGCCTTATGAAATCTTCTGTGTACAGAATGAACAGACAGGGACATAAAATTCACAGTTGTTTGTCTTTGATTATAGGAATCCAGTCATCTTCTTTGTATTCTGGCTTAACTGTAGCTTCTTGTCCATGATAACGTTAGAGATGAGGACAATTAAATGTTGAGGCACTCCATAGTATCCTGTGAGCTAGTTTGTCAAAGACTTTGCTATATACTGATTTCTTCTCACAGTTGTGTGTGTGTGTGCGTACTCCAGTAGCCAACATAGATTCACATATGATCCCAAGTGCCTTGTCCTTTTCAGAATCCAGCTTGAACATCAGTCATTTCTTTCTCTGTAGAGAGTAGAATTCTTTGTTGCATCAGCTTGAGCATCACTTTGCTTGCATGGAAATTAGGATAACGATCCTATAGTTGCTCCACTTATTAGCATCTCCTTTCTTAATAGTTGGAATGTATATCAAATGTTTCCAATCTGTGGACTATTGCTCTCTCTTCCTTCCCCCACACCTGTGTGTGTATGTGGTGGTGTGGGGCATATTCCTGTTAGGATTTGGAATTATTCAGTTTCTGCAGCTTGAAACAGTTTTATTGGTACCCTATTTAATCTGGGGACTTTCTGCCTTCTAAGTGCTTTTAGAGCAACTTTCCCTTTACTTTCCAATACTGCAGAGTCTTCCCTATAGGATTCCCCTTCAAAGAAGTTTGCCATCCTTTCATCTTTTCTGCATTCTTGTTTTGTACACTGTTTCCACCTTTTCTTTATTTTCTCCAGGTAAGAAAGTATGTTTCCTGCATACCTTTCAGTATACCTATTCTGAATTTCCCTTTGATTTCTTGGATCTTCTGGAAGAGGTTTCTTGGTTTTCCTCTTTTGTTGTTCTCTTCCATTTCTTTGAACTGGCCATTGTAACAGTTCTTTTATCTCCCTAGCATAAAGGAGATAAAAAGAGGTGAAGAGGTGCATTCAGGATTCTGTCCCTACTTCTGTCATCTTTTGCTTCTCACCTCAGCAATTGTGAGAGTTTCTTCTGTCATCCAACTATGCATTTTCTTTCTTTACACTACAAGATTTCTTTTGGCATTCTCCCCTAATAACATTCTCCCCAGTGGTTTCAGTCTACAGCTCTTCTGGGTAATGATCAACTAAGTTCCATAATGCAAATTCCTCAGAATTGGAAGTATATGTCTGTTAGTGATCTTTTTCAACTTTACTCTGCTTTTTGATGTTAAGCATCTATAGTCACTACCACAATCTGCTCCTGATCTTGCTTTGGCAGTGAGAATACAGCTTCACCATCTTTCACTCTCCAGTATGTAAATTATTTCTCTATCAGCAACTTAGTGATGGTTCATATATACATCTGATCCATTTCTTCTAATCAGTATTTGTGATGAACAGATGGTTGAAGTCACAGAATTTTGTGAGTCATTGTCCTGCTTTGTTTATGACCCTTAGACCAAATTCTCTCACAACAGTAGAGTCTGTTGTGTCTCCTACTTTTGCATTCCAATTACCTATGGTCAGTGCTTTCTTTGTAAAAAAAAAAAAAAAAAGGTGTGGGAACTCACGTCGCTGCCGGTGCGCGACCACATACACCAATCCCAAGTTGAGCAGCGTCCCAAGCCGGGCAGTGCAGACACAAAAGCAGCCCGCAGGCACTATGTTAATGATGTTTGCTGCTGATCTGCTATGCCAACAGGCAATTCAAAATCACTTTGTAAAATCCATTGGAAAAAACGGTGCCGAAACGCCATTCCGGTGCGTTCGATGACAAAAAAAGCCCTGCCTATGGTTATCAGATATCATATTTGGTGTGTTATCAATCTCCTCTTGGATACTTGCAAAGAAGTTTTCAATTTCTTTTTCTCTACCATTGATTCTTTGAACATGGATTTGAATGATGGTTATGCTGCTAGGTTCTTCACAAATTCTGACTGATATTATTTGGTCAGCCTTTGCATTATAGGTCCTTAGTGCTTGTGCTACATCTTCTTTATGTATTAGAGACACTCTGTTTCTTCTGAATTTGTCATTTCCAGAGTAAAACATTCTGTGTTTGACTGAAACTGTCCCAACTCCATTCCACTCCATCGTGCTCGTAACAAGTACTTCAATCTTCAATCATTCCCTTTCCTTCTTTGGGGTTCCCAGTTTGCCCTGATTCATACTTCTCACATTCCATGTTTCAACTGTATGGGTTGAACAGCATAATATTTTCTTTTCGCCTCTGTGCTTGTCAGTCACTAGACTTCCTTTCAGCTTTGATCTAGTTCTATCATTATTCAAGCTTTGTTCTTCTCCGGTAACTAGTTGAGTATCTTGCAACCTGGGAGTCTCATCTTCTGGCACTATCTCTTGTTCCATTTTGGATTGTTTTATTATAGAATATACAAGGTAAGAAGTTTCAGAAGTGTTTTACCATTGCTTTCTGAACAATACTAACCAGAGTTAGCTTGAGCATCACTACTATTGTCTGTGAAAGATCCTCTGCCAGTATTGCCTTCAACTACCACTGATGTCCAGTAGTTTCCTTCTTGGAATTTCTCTGCCCCCATCACCATTGCACATATCCATTTTCTTCTGCTGAAGTTACCATTCCTCCCGCAAAGTGAGGTTGCATCTTAGAGTTTCAACATTGACCATTCTTCCTTGAAAGACTCTGCTAGAAAGCCAGCCTAGCCTGGTGGCATTGCTCTTAGTTTCTCTGACACTCCCAAAGAGAATGAATTCCTGAACACCAACTCAGCAATAGATATGCTTCTATATTGAGTGGTTTTCCTGGCTTGAGGCCAAATGATCTGCACATTGCAAGAAGTAGCAAGAATATATTGAACTGAGATGCTCAGTATCAATTTGAACACATTGTTTATTCAATTCTGTGCAATGAGAAAGTTTTGAACAGGAAGTTAGCAACAGGAAATCAGTTTACTGCACGGGTTCTTCAAAATTGGATGTTTACTCTATTAAAAACAAAACAAAAAACAACAGTGGAAGTGATGCCATGTGACCACCTAAACACAAATGGGGTGCACCATTATCACAGGACTAACATACCCATTCAGAAGTTCATCATTTCAAGGCATTCGATCTGCAGCCAGTTTCATACTGTTAATGTAACGGGCACCTGTACCACTTCAGTGGTACATGCAGGCTTCACTGAAGCCATATTTCCATAGAGAATTGGCTCCTTTTCCAGGGAAAGGACAGATGCATAACATTGCCCTTGTCACTATAGCAATAGACAGAAACATCATCTTTTTATCAACTAGTCAGTGCCATGACAGCCCACACACAAGGGCTAAATATGGGGTGCTGTTGAACTGCAGGTTACTGTGTTGTTGGAACCCAGTTTCACTAACAACCTGTGGCTTGTTAACCACAATCAACCATGGAAACAACCTATGGTTTGTTGTTCATCTGTGAACTATGGGTTGTATACTATGTTTAGGTACAGTTTGGTTCAGAAAACTTAATAACCTAAGTTTCAACAACAACACATAGTTCAATGACAAGCTACACTTAACCCTTGAGTGTGTGTTATCATGTTGTCTGAACCCAGTCAGTAAATCTATCCCCCAGCCTGAACTCAGCAGCAAAGGTTGAATCTAAGAGGCAGGAACAGCACAGCTGACTTCTAAATGCTTAAGAATGATTAAGGAGGAAAGCCAAGGGGCTGAATCAAATAATGTACAGAGGAAAGGATTAGGAAAAAAAAGCAACTGATATCTAGTGCACTCTTCCCCAACTGGGTACCTGCAGATATTGTGAATTACAAGTCCTATCATCCCTGACCACTGGTCATGCTGGCTGGGGCTAATGGGAAATGAAGACTAAAATGTCTGGATGATGCCAAATGGAGGGCATCAAATGTATGGCTGCACCTATTGTCCTAAAAGAGCCAGTGTGGTGTAGTGGTTAAGAGCATGGGACTGGGACTCAGGCGATCTGGGTTCTAGTCCCCGCTCAGCCATGGAGCCAACTGGGTGACTTTGGGCCAGTCACAGCCTCTCAGCCCAACCTACTCACAGGGTTGTTGTTGTGGGGATAAGATGGAGGAGGAGATGTAAGCTGCCTTGAGCCCTTGTAGGAAAAAGGCAGGATATAAATCGAAAAATAAACAAATAAAAAAATAAAAAAGAACTTGCTATGAGCAATGTTTTAACATACTTTATTCTAACAATGATAATGATGTGCATTTAAAGAACTTAGCATAAGTAAGCAAAACGCAAAGCCTTGTAATCCCAAACCAGGTTTTTTATTCAACAAAAGTCAGTGCAAGGGGCTGTAAAAAATAACGAACTTCAGTGTGCTGTGGTTTTGCAGCTTGTTGGACCTAAGTGAGTTGGGTTAGTGGCACAATGATTGCAAAATGTCTTCACTCTTCTTATGGAGAACTACAATCCTCTATGTATTGTTACTGATTCTTGTTAGAATACACATTGGTCAAAAATATAACAAGATTTTATTATGTAGTTTGTTCCTAAAAGGCTATTTTGGTACATTCTCCTATTTATACTGGCACTCGGTGCAATCTCAAACCAATAAACACATTATTTCTGCTCTGATCTCTGAAAAAGTGTTAGCTTCAAAGGTTATCAGCAAGCAGATCCCACAAACTATAGTGCTATTTCTCACTCCTGTAGTTTCATAACTTTTCGCTTCTGCCATCTACCCACCCTTTGATCCATAAAGTATATGCAACAAGGAATAGAATTAACTTAAAATTAGGTTAATTTTTAAACCCTTCTGAACAGAGAAGAACAAGTTTTGCTCCACATGTGACATTGGCCCAAATGATGCCTCTAATAAGAACTTTGTTGAAAGGACCAAAAAAAAAAAAAAAAAAAGGATCAGTTTTCCCAAAGAGAGGGTGAAACTGAAACACAGACAGATGGTCACCATTTCCTTTAACATGATCATAAGCCTTCCTGGAATCTTCTCTGTTATTTTTTAACAAAATTACATTTTTGTATAATATATGTAGAGATGAGATATAATTTTAAAGTTATGATTCCAAACTGATATATGGATAGCACTAAAACAAAAAATGTTCTAAGATAAAAATGGAATAGTGATGAGCGTCTAAGAGATTAGTCATTCATTCCTCATTCCTACTCACTCAATAAGTGCTGCATAACTCACTTAGGACTTGAGCTCCATATATAAAGACTATCTAAGAAGAATATTAAGATGAACACTTAGAAATAATGTTAATGGCCTTCTAGCTTTAGAGGTTTTATAATCCACAGCAAAGGTTTTGTAAGCCTCCTTTTTCTATTTCCAGAATTGCAAAGAATACAATAAACAGTTCAAAGTACTGAAATATAAATATACCTTTATTCACATGTGTATGTCTAGCTTCTATGGAACTTTGTTTTTTGAAACCTATCCAAATTACACAGATTGCAGGAAAGCACAACAGATAGGAAATACATACATCATATCATCTACATAAAATTATGAATTATACAAGAGTGATGAGAGTCTGTTAGCTACTGGAAAGGATCTTCATTAAGGCCACAGTAATGGGTAGATGAGGTTCAACAAAGTAAATCACAATCCAGAGAAGACAGAGGTACTCTGGATGGGTAGTTTCCCTGTCTGATTGACTAGTATACTTCATGTACTGAACAGGATTGTTCCCCTACACCTAAAGCAACCAGTTCATAGCTTGTGGGGGTGGGGAGGTTTGAGGATCCATCTTTGTCACTAGAAGTTCACATTGTGACTGTGACACAGAATGGCTTGACCAACTTGCCTGTTATGTAAGTTGCAATCCTACCTGGACAACAGCAGCCTTGGTTAACCAAGCTCTGTTAACTGCCAAGTTAGACTTCTGTAAAGCACCCCATGTGGGGCTTTCCTTCAAAGACCTTTCAAAAACTGCAGTCAGAGCAGAAAACTAGGCTGTTATCATGTACTGCAACTATATTGTACCAACAATTTTACCTCCCAGTTTATCTTCTGTCTTGGAGTGCTGGTTTTCATATTTAAAGCGCTTCATGGCAGAAGTCCTAAAGGACTGTCTGTCTTTATATGTACCTGACTTGGTGACTTCTGACATATTAATAGAATCAGATGGTTGCCAGAGAAATTGCTTTCTCCTCAGAGGCCTGGCTGCCTCCCATCTTATTGTTTTTAAGTACCATGCAAAGAACTTCTTTAAAAATTTCCAAAGCTTTGGGAAGCAATTTAACCTAGTGGATTGTTTTATACAGTTTTGTGATATGTGACCCTTTATCTTATGTTCTGTTTGTATGAATGCTTTATATACTCTTATTTGCAAATTGCCCTCAGAATACAGTTGAAAGGTGCCAGAAAAATGTTTCTAACTGTATCAAAGTTAATAAGCTTTCAAACTGGATAATATTTAGCTTAAATCTATAAGAATGTTATTAGTTAATACAAAAATAATATTCAAGTTGAACTTGAATATTTACCCAGGAAATTTGCCACTGGAAGCATGAGATCAGCTTCTCTCCCCAGTGAAATATGTATAGCACCGTGTTAACACATTAATTATTCCTGCCATTATAAACTGAGCACACATACCTGCATTAAATAAAGGTAAATTGTCTTTACTATTGGCGTTTTCCAGAGATGTACACTCATAAACCAAGGCACACTACAAAACAAGAAGTTAAAATATTTTCAGTGGAAAAGAGGATTCCCTGTATTTACGTTTTTAAAAGCTGCAAAAAAGCGCATATTGAACTTGTCACAATACTATGTGAATCACACGTTTATACACAATCTCATTCCCCTGCTGTTTGTATTATGTCATATATTAATTTTCCAGGTAATGTTCTATGTAACTTTGCCATGAAGTTATTCACAAAAACGGTAGTGGGTAAATTTCCCCAGAAAACCAGTATGGCATAGTGATTAGAGAGCTGGATTGGGACTGGAGAGATTCAGGTTCTAGTTCCTGTTCAGCCATTAACTTCACTGATTCACTTTGAGGCAATCCCTGATTCTCAGCTTAACATACCTCACCAGGTTGTTGTGAAAATAAAATGGAAAAGAAAAAGAGGATTATATAAGCAGGAAAAAGGCAGGATTAAATAAAAACAGGCTTCTTTAAAGGCTTCTTTAAAGTGCTGCTCCTCTTGCTTAAACCACAGGTACAGGAAAATGGGCAATTTTTGAGCTCATCAAAGCTTTCCTTTCTCCATCCTGATTGCTAGCTTAGCTTTTTGTTTTTCCTCTAGGAAGAGTATGCATTTTTCTAAGCATGCACACAAATGCAGATCTGATTAAAGCATGAACATGATGTATCCTTTTGGGAAAATGCACATTTTTTTCAAAATGGATGTACTCTGTGAATGTGCTCACAAGCTCAAGAATATATTAGGTTTTTTTTTTTTAATGAAAACTGCTATTGTGCTCACATTCATGGCTGCAAGAGGAGTGTTTTTGTTCATTTTTTAAGCATCGGGGAAAATTTAAACCAAGCGGATTCTTAACCTCTCTCAGCTAAATTCTGTCAGGGTCTATTGTTGTGCTACAGCTAGAACAGTGCAAAGCAGCCAGAGAAAGCCATTCACCCACCAAGAGGATTCAGCATGTGTCTGCTGGGAAGCCACTGGGAGATATACTCATTTCATTTTGTTCCATAACCCCCTCCCCGTTTTCCTTCTCCTTTGTCAGCAAGCAAATTTCTATTCCATATTCAACCTGCTTTTTGTTCACTGAAGAAAGCATGCTTTGAAAAGTTCTGAAAAGAATTATGGCTGCAACCTTATATTTGACCAAGAGCCATATTTTCCGGCTCAGAAATATGATTCCTGAGTAGACACATTATGCTTGCCTTGAATATAGGGGAAGTACTGCAATCTCCAGTTTAGTGGAGAATTTCATGGATTCATACTTACCCTTCTATTCATTCTACAAATCTTTGTGTTGGAAGCTATAATTTAGCACTTCTGGAGGGCAGCAGCTTGGGAAAGGATACCCAATGGAACATAGGTGGATTTGTTTGATTGTTTGTTTACCACTTTAGCAGTGTAACTCTATATATGCCTACTCAGAACTCATCCCAATCTCAGTGGGAGTTAAAAATAAGCAGCACACAATTCTGGCCTATGCACCCTCTTGCACCTTCCCTCAAAACCATTTTCAATTATGGCACCATACTGGGTAGCATTCAGTGTTAGTCTTACTTAAGCCCCAGTCATTTCAGTGGTTCCATTTTAGGTAGGCTAGCACCGGATATACCTTCATGTATGTAAATATTACATTCACTTGGTTTATCACTTTAACTTACTATTATCAGCAAAAAATCAAAACAAAACTAGGACCTCTTCCTTTGGTTTGGACTACAATGGATTTATAAAATTAGGGTGGGATCCTTGGAACAAAGACCACCCCAGTTTCCAGGCAATGTCTGTGCAAGCCAATTAATTTTAACTGGTGCAATTTTAAGTTTAATTTGTGCAAATGTGAACCGGTGCTTATATATTGCTCATAAAGTTTTGCTTTTAAATACATATAGTCCATATCATTTAAATAATTTAAAACTATGATGATGATCACCCTAATAAAAAAGCATGATATCTTGATAATATCACATTGCACAGGCTCTGCACTTGTTTCCCAAATCACCAAAGCTCACAAGAGTAAAACTTATTGGAGTACTCAATGTGATTGTTATTATTCTGGTTACCATTGGGTGGTAAGTTAGCAATATGAATAAAACAACAACCCCCAAATATCTCAATTAAGATGACATAATCACTAGACCTGAAACTATTTCTAAATTTTATTCATGCATAAAACCAGTAAATATAAATGTTCTGCACATTTATTCCTGTGCCAAACCATTTGGGTAAATATAAATATTCTTAAATGGACACATTCTCCTACTCATAAATAAACACACATAGATTCAGGGATATATTCACTTGATAATTTTTGATGATCTTGGACAGGTCTTAGATGTCCCCACAAATAAGTGGAATAGTGAATATTTAAAATCTCTCATCGCAAAAGGGGTATCAGATAATTAGGGAGGAATCTTAGTTGGTCCATAAACCTATGTCATGCAGGGGCATAACACAAGCAGTGCAGGGAAAATAGATAAGGTGTTAGATCTAGGGTTCAGCCAAATGTTTGAGAGTTTTCATTTCTCTGTCTAAACATCAGGGGAAATTGTTTCAAAGAAAGGACAGTATTGTAAAAACAAACATGCTGATTTTCCTTCAAATCCTGAACACAAAGCAGTTCTGTCAAAACTGAGACTGAACATTTTGGCTCAGAGCTAGATTTTGCTCACAAGGTTTGAAAGCATGTTCTGCCAAATGGAAAGCAGAAATAATTTAAAAATCCCACTGCACCTGGTGGTTCACTTCAGGTGTAGGTGCTTCACTGCCTTAGTAGGCTTATATTCCAGACTCTTACCCTGATTTTCTTCTAAACAGAGGTCACAGTGATATAACAATACACAGTGAAATGGAAGAAGGTTCAACTAAAACTGAGTGTGTGTATGTGTGTGTGTGTGTGTCAGCTAACCAGTTAAATCCATAGTGTTTCTATAAAAAAGTGATATTTAAAATTTGCTTTGTGTACTAAGTATAACTTGGGGATAATGATAGCTGCTCAATTGATAGTATTTTAAGCTAATTACCCTTGCGATTGGTTTTGAAATTAGTACTTTTGTGCTAACAAAATACAAGTTTAAAAGTTCTAAAATAGAATTTGTTTACATCCCAGCATATTTTAGTTTGGAGAGTAGAACACTCACATCATACTTTATTCTATATAGGACCTCTTTATTTTTATTCTTAAATACAGACTTAAATTCTGCTGTGACTATTGTAATGCATAGGCATCTGGCATATTTTATAATTCTCCTTTAATTTGTGCACTGAGCTGAATTCCTACCTTTTGTCCCTGCACATCTGTTGTGCTGTGATCTGCTTCCCCATCCTCAGTTTCCCCCATCTTCACAAAACTGACATCGATTGTGCCAAATGTTTTTCCACCATCTGAGCTCCTGAAAAAATAAGTGAAAGGGGAGAGGGAGGGGAGATTTATTTTCTATTTGTACAACAGTATCATTAATTAAATCAATTTCCTTCAATCTGAAAACCAGTGTAGGAAAAAATATACTTATTTTTAAATACTGTGCAAGTGCTGGGGCTGTTCCACATACATTCTGAAACTCTGCAAAATTTCATAGCCAAGCTACAACAATCAAGTGTGCACAACATGACAAACCACAGTGGACTGTCACTCTGGTCTGTTTTAGAGAGGCTTGTTATCCAAACTTTGCACTGTTTCCTCAGCATGTTTGTTAACCACACTTATTCTACTCTGAGAATCAATGGCTTGTTGTTTGGTTGTTCAGGGTGTCTTGTCATGACATGTGAACCTGGCATGATGCTCATTCATGGCCTGTTGGAAAGGGCTATCCTGAAGACCTGCTCACTCCTTTCAATCCCACTGCTACTTCCTCTTCATTACATCTTAAAATGAAGCTCATCAATTTTTATTTATTTATTTATTTATTTTTATTAAAACATTTCTATGCCGCCCCTTGCCGAGGCCTCGGGGCGGCTTACAACATCAAATAAAATACAAAATAATTTAGTCCTCCACTTCATCACTTCCCTTGATAGTACCAGCTTTACTGCTCTTTTCAGCCTTTGGATTTGCATAAATGTAACTTTATATTAAAAACCAAACTTTTGGTGTGATTAGCAGGTATTTGCATAAACTATTGCACTTATGCATAGTAGTTGCTGGATTTTAGTGAACTTGTCCAAATTTCTTCCTATTTCCTTCACTTTTTTGAAAGTTAAATTTGTGAAAAAAGGTTAAACAGAAGTCTCCATGAAGCTAAAAATAATAATGCTCAATATGTATAAATCTCTCTGAAGGTGGAACCAAAGCTACAAATGACCTCTACTAATGGATACATCTATGTACATTAACAAAGTAATGGAGCAGGCTACTGAGGTTGTGTTGCAAAGACTCACGGGATATAGTAGCCAGGAAAACTAAGGAAGAAGAAAGCACAGAAAGCTACTGAATACCTGGCCATCTCTCAGGAGTAACACAAATGAAGAACTACTCCACCCCCATTGCTTATTTTCGGGGTGGTTTAACATGATGTGCAAACTGGTCCATTATATCTATATTTGCTTTTATAATTTGCACTCTGATGATCTGTCCAGTAATTCTGGAGGACGAGAAAACCCAGAAAAAGCAGTGACCATTGCCAACATCTACACCAACTGACAAGACTCACTCACCCCACAATCACTTTTTACTTTATTTATACAACAGCAGGTCAGACCAATTAGGTCTGCTGTCAGATTGGGGTAGTTCTCTGGGGCTCCAAGATTGAGCAGGGGCTAGAACATAAATCACTGAGTCCCAGACCTGTACTCTTAACCACTACACCATGCTGGCTCTCATATTCATGTTCTTATTACTATTATCATCTAATATCAAAGTTGGTTCTTATCATCATCATCTAATATCAGAGTTGGTACAAAGTGTTGCTATTGTTCAAACATATCAGAAATGTTCATCATAAAGCAAAGGATGGCAGCTGCGCAGGAAGAAAAGAAATGTCAGTTGCATTCTTGACAATAGAAGTAAGACATGTGGCTATTTAAAGCCCCATCTCTGCCTCTCCCTATAAATTAATTAAGTCAACGGTCTAAAACTACTTAGCTGTAGCACTGCTCAGAAAAATTAGCACTTCTCTATGGGAGCTGAGTGATTCTATGTCAGCACTGTTCTGCTTCATTGCATTGTGGGAAATTAAAATTATCCACAATTCAATGCTGCTTGGCTCCAGTTGTGGCTGCCTGGTGCCAATTGTAGCCAAGCAGCTATTTTACTCCCAAGGAAGCCACTCATAGGAAAATTATCGCTCGAACCCAAGGCAGGGACCTAGGCAATGTAGGCATCAGTGCTGGGGTCCTGCTAGTATGGGGCGGGGGGTTTCTGGCAGTTGCCTGAATATGCCAGGTGCTGATGTTCAGCCCAAGAACAACATCATTTACCTGTAACTTTATAGGCAAACAGAAAACCAAAGCACCTAGGCACGCTAATGCATATGGGACCAAAGCGTGCATTAATGTTTAATGTTTTTGCTTTTAAATTTTAGAAACTATGCTTTCTAAAACTGCTCTTCCTGCAATTGTCATTCTCTGCATCAATGATAAGACCACTATCAACTCTGTGAGTTTTAAATAGCTTATCTACATTCTCTAGTTTATCTTTAAACATACCTAGTTTACCTGCATTATCTCCCCCACTGCCATCCTGCTTTCATTCTTTCTGCAAGATACAATTAACATGCACTGCTGAAAGAGCTGGTGCTGTAATTTGTGGGTTCTTGAATCAGAAAGCTCTTAACTCTAATTTGGTCCATAAGGTTTCAGAATTTCAAAAAAGGAAGATCTGCCAGTATAATTGTGAACAACACAAATTGTTGTTGCAACTTGCTTGAGGCAGCCTGCAGAGCCATTTTCTACAGTGCAAGTCCTTTTCCTGAAATAGATTTTAGCATAATAGGTCTAAAATTTGTCTGGAATGATTTGTGTGTTTGTTCTGTATCCTGCCTTTTTTCTCTTCAAGAAACTCATGGGGGCTTACCTAATTATCCTGCTCCTCATCTATACAACAACAACCCTGTGAGGTAGGCTGGGCTGAGAATCTGCAACTGGCCCAAAGTGACACAGTTAGCTCGATGGCTGAGTGGGAACTAGCACTCAGGTCTCTCAAATCCCAGTCCTCCACTCAACCACTATACCACACTGGCTCCCAGTGAAGCCTAACAAAAATATCATATCTACCAGAATGAAACTACATAGCCTGTATTTACCAATTAACCAGAAGACAAATTGGTATAAGAGTTAGAACCAAACATTTCATGTTCTGTGAATCTAAAGCACACAGTATCCAGAGCTTGCCATCCTGTCAAATCCCAGACTGAACTCTGGAGTTCAGAGATGAGCTGAATAATTAACATATAATAACCTTCTTGGGTGGCTGTCTGTGTATGGAGTAGGGATTTTGCACTGAAGTGGTCCCACTCATAGCTGGATGGTTGGCTCCAGAAACTGGTGTTTAGAAGATACTGCTCAGGTCCTTCGAATCTCCAGTTATGGAGTTCCTTGGGCCAATTTTGTCCCCCATGCTACTTAGCATCTACATGAAACTTCTGAGTAGGGATATCTAGAGTTTTGGACTGTATTGTCACCAGTATGCTGAACATACAGCTCTATTTCTCCTTTTCTTTTTCAGTAGATGAGGCTAAGGGCGTGCTATAACAATGAACTGGACAAGGGCTTACAAACTGAAGCTGAGTCCAAACAAGACTGAGTTGCTGTTAGTAAGTCAATCCTCTGACCAGATGAAAGTTGCCCTCTCCTTGAAGGAGCAGGTTTGTAATAACTTGGACCCAAACATCTGAACATATACATTCCAACCTGCTTGCACTGGTTGGCTATATGCTGTTTTTAACCTATAAGTCCTACTCAGCTGGGACTGGAATATTTGATAGAATGCTTCTCCTATCTGCATTCTCCCCAGACACTTCTATTAAGATCTGGGGCCTGCCTCTGGCTGCCAATGACAAGGAAGGCTCACTTGATGGCAATTATAGCCTTTCCAGTGGCAGCCCTCCAATCATGGAACAAGCACACCAAGGAGGCCCACCTGGCACCAACTCTGCTGTCCTTTTGATGCCTGTTTAAGATTGTCCTCTATGAGGAGGCATTTAATTAGCTCTAAGTAATATATTGGAGTGATATGTCAGCTGTTCAACAGATTTTGTTGTTTTAATCTGTTACTATTGTAGTTGAGATAAAAACCTTCAGCATTACAACCAAGCCTATTCTGGACTACTTAACATCTGTTCATACATTGGACTTTATATCAATATGTTTTACTCTCTGTACAAGTCCTCAGCAACCTGGTGTTTTGCAGATGTTTTGGGTCTCATATATAATCAGGCCAAATCAGGAATAATCAGGCCAAATAATCAGGAATTTTGGCAGTTATAATCCAAAACATCTGGAGGGCACTGGTCTAATCTATGCTCTTTCACATCAAGCAGAAATACTGTAGATTCTACTATGCAGAATGAAGTAAATCCAGATTTGGTCATATTTAAACTAATGTCAACCCCATTGATTTCAGTGGGGCTATTCTAAGTGTGACTAATAACTAAGAGTGACTGAAGCCTGCCTAACAAACATAATGGTATTTCAGAGTTGTGATAAAAATAGAAATCTTAACATACAATACATTTTACTGATTCTTACTGAAGTCTCTTTGGAAATCAAAATCTGAATGAAACATTTCCCATGGCCATTCTTCTGCCTGAAGAAGTAGGGGGAAAGCTTTAAAAAGAAAGCTTAAGAATGCAGAGAATCTGCCTGCATATTTGTAAACAAATTCTAGATTATGCCACTCAAAATTTCAATTATTCTACTCACATGTTGCAGGCATTTCCCATTTCGCAACACTGTAAGTTAATCTTGCAGGCTAATAAAATATATGTATTCATTTTAACTGCAATCTTGATGGAAAGCACAGATCCGTAGTTTTATGATAAAATCCTTAATTCATTTTATAAGGCTATTACTGATAGCCTTACAATTCACTGATTAAACTCAACTGGTATATTGACTGATTAAAACTGTGCAGGGTTTTTGTTTCCAGATAGTCCTTGTAAAAAATAAAATGTCACTGAACAACAGATTATACTATTCCTTTTTGCTTATCCTAATATAACGCTTTATTACACACATTGCCAAATTTTCTCTCTACTTTTCTGGAGACCTGCCCAGTTTGTAAAGTCAAGCTGACACCCATCTGTTCCACAGTAGCAAGTCACATCCAGAAACAACTAGGAAGTCCTATCTGTTAGCTGTATAAAATATACCTAATTGGGTTGATTTGTGGTGGGTAAAAGCATGTTGATTCCTACATTAATTGTCACATTTGCTAAGAAACTAAGATATACCAAACAACTGCAAACATACTACAGGTGTTTAAAAAATTGTTATCAACTAAGCATGCAAACGTATTTAATGTTTTCTGAATCCTTTGAAGCTCTTAAGCTCAGCTTTTCAATTGCATTTTGATTCCTTAGATTTAAGATAGGTTCTAGTGAAAGTACTAAGAACTCTTTTGGCCTAAGAAACACACAAAAGCAATAAATATTTCCATTGCAACTACATATCAGATTGCAACTAGGCAGCTGATACCATTCTTCAGCTCTGCTTCTCTTTTAAATCTAGTAAGCTCATGTTTGGTATATGCATAGGAAACCACTTACTAGTTGGCCTGTATACATATTTGAGTGTGGAAGTACTGCTCTGATTATAGGTTACTAATTAATCAGTCAACCACAGTGAAACCACCTGCAAGTTAGCATGCAAGGAAGAGAAGACTGTGTCCCCAACCTCTCAAATTCTATATTTAACAAGCAAAATTGCAAGGGTAGCCAAAGGCATACTTTTGTCTGCAAAGTAGGGGACAAATTCATCAAAATGGGGAAAAATGGCTCAGCCTCTGTGAAAATGCAGTGTTGATTGACCAATCCATTAATCATCCAAAAGAGCTCCACAAGATGGCACTTTGCAGACACAATTACAGCAGTTAGGAAGAATATTACTCATTGCCATCTTTACTGTGGCAAAGGCTGTGACAGAAAATTTTTATACATCTATTATATAAGATGTGAGTCATCTGCCCTCCTACCTCAGAGCCTCAATAAGTCAGAGAAGTTTAAGCAGTGCCCCATGTTATATACTACCTGTGTGTATAGTTGACACAGTAGAGGCATAAGCTATTGACAACATGGTTCCAATAATGCATAAACTAAGTTCTCTAACTGATGCAGGCCCTGTTAATCTGACTTTTAGCCCAGCTAAATCCACTTCTTTCACAATGGTCAGCTGTCCCTGGGTAGATTCTGCTGAGCCTATGCAGTATTATATACAATCTGTAACAAATTAATTAAAACACCCCTTTGAGATTTATGCATAATACAGCTAATAGCACGGAATTCAAAATCCCAAGTTCTAAATGCCTGCAGGACTATTTTTTCCAAATCACTATTCTATTTGGTTTAATGAGCATTAAGAGAACTCAGGTAGATCCACTATTAACACATATATTTGATGTTTTATTTGGATCACCTTAAAGTTAGGTTAGAATTTAATGTATAACTGAAATAAAAGCTTTCCTTGGATCCTATCACAGTCTTATTTGATTGAATTAAGAACTTAGTAAATACAATTTACAAAATACAGTCCTCCGTCAGTTCCACTGACTCCCCATTGAAGTCTGGGCCCAATTCAAGGTGCTGGTTATCACCTACGAAGCCCTGAACAGCTTAGGTCCTGGTTACCTAAAGGAGCACCTATGTCCATATATGCCCTCCAGCCCGTTGAGATCGGTGGGGGAGGCCCTTCTCCAGGAAGGATATTAGGAGGGTGAGAACACAGAGGAGGGCTTTCTCTGTGGTGGCGCCCAACCTATGGAATGCGCTCCCCAGAGAGGTCCACCTGGTGCTGTTATTTGTTTTTTGGCACCAGGCCAAGACCTTTTTATTTAAATGCTATTTTAATTGTTAAGGTTTTATTTGTTGGTTTTAAACTGACCAGGCTGTTTCCACTATTTTATGTATTTTATTTATTCTATGATTTTTTTAAAAATTTATATGTGGGATTTTAATGATTGTAAGCTGCCCTGATGGGGGCGGCATATAAGCTGTCTAAATAAATAAATAAATTGACAATGAAATAGTAGTATATCTTTTCACTGAAGCACATATGATTTTCACTAAAAAATGGGAAAGTATTAGTGATTTTACTGAACTGTGAAGAAAACTCAGGACTGATTTATTGATATACAAGTGTTCATTTATTCATCATGGAATTATCTGATGTAGATCATGCTTCCCTCACTTTATAAATGGGGAAATACACATACTGTGGTTTAGACTAATTGCATGTGATGAATGCAGGGCTGCTGGATCTTAGAGCTCTTGGGACCAGCAATCTGTTGCACTATCTACTGCAGATTGGTAGTAGTCCAGTATACATTGGACTCCCTGACTCATCAATTTCTCGTTGCAGCTGGGCCACTGTGGGCAGGTTCATTCAAAAACATGTATTTAATTATCCTACTATAATCTTTGGTGCAATTGGTCCAGACAGGCAATGTCTCAGTTCATTAGGATACTACTGCATAGTACTCCATCATTACAGTCTCTTTTTAAGAAGCTGTAAATTGTGACTTTGCTTCAGCTGACCACAGATCCCCTTTAATGCCTTTTTAGTGAAGTTAAACCCAGAAGTTACTTGCTCCCAGAACCAGAATTCATCTTCAATTCTCTTTTTAGTGCTACACAACAAAATATGTATTCAATGCTATACGGATGCATATTAAAACAGAAAAGAACAGAACAAACCTACAAACTAGAAAAAAGTAGCACATCTACAGAAAAACATGTCAATTTGTAGATGCAATTGCTAGGTGTAGATATAATGTTGCCAATCTCTCTACAATGTTTAAGAGAGAGCAAAGTGTCATAACCTTTGCATTTCTTCTCTATTCCTTTCTCCACTATAAATTCCTGTCCTTGCCAGTTTTAGCCATGGTCCAGAAGTGATCTATGCACAAATGCAAACTATGGTTAACTCTTACTTGGTTAGTGTTACTGCAGATTTAATACCAGGTGAATAGCATTATTGCAGATGCAACACTAAATCATGATTAAAGCAGACAAGGTAAGGAAGCCAGGAATTCACCTCAAAAGGCAGAGGATGGATTGAGAGGCAGCATGCAAACCCACAGCCTTAATCATGTTATCAGGTGGGAACCATTGAGCAGCATCCCGTTTGGCACTAGTGCAAATGTAAATTATGAAGCACTACTGCAACAAAAATAGTGTTTGCTAGTGTGATAAGTGCTGACACAAATCAGTTACACTGTAGCATTTGCTGATAGGCTATGTTTTCCTTAAAAAAAACGACCCATAATGCTAGCAAACATTATTGCCATGGTGCTATATGTTGCTTACCACAGCAGAATGAAATTTAGGTGAGTGTTAGTGCTGCACAGGATCCTGATTAGTACATCTACACTGGGTTGCTAAAAGATGGAACTAAAATGAAATAGAATATATTCACTGGTCTGAATGTAGTGTGAAGTATCAAATAATTAACTGAAGTTTTGTGAACAAGCAGCAGGACTTGAGATGTGCTCCTCATTAGTGTTGAATAGATTTATTTCTCCTATTTATTTCTGCTTTGTATTAGGATCAGTGCATGAATGAACACATTTTATTTATTTATTTATTTATTAAAACATTTTTATGCCGCCCCATTCGCCGAAGCCTCGGGGCGGCTTACAAATGTAAAACTATTTTCATATTAATGTGCATTTTAAAATATTTGAAAGAACTGCAGTTGAAGAAATATTTATATGCACATTATTGAAAGCATTCTATGCAAAAATATGTTTTATATACATTTTACTCTAAAATGCACAAACTTGAATTCATTTACCTTATAACACACAATGTAAATAATTTTTTTGAAGAAAAAGCTGTTTACTACATCACAAAATTTAAAGAATTCAGAATATGGACCGGATCAATCCATTTCAAAGTGCAGACTGAAGAAAATCCCTCAGTAGTCCTTTATCTGAGTAATCTGTAGTAATTTTGAGTTACAAACCACAGCCAACCAGCAGCCATTAACTCTTACAGATTTTTTGATTTGACATGAATTGAGATCAAAAGAAATATACCCACCTCAGGCTAAGAGTCAATTGTTTCTCCTTTGATTTCACCAACTCGCCTACTTTAAATGTAGCACAACCCAGGAAGCTTCTCTAGAAATCCAAATGGAGTAAAAGAGGGGAAAGGATGAATGAGGTGTGGGAGGTGAAGAACACCTTCATTAGATTCATAAGTTTTAATGGTTTCTTTTTCAATCCCATGCCGGCAAACCTTCCCTTGGTAGCAAGGAAGAAATATTAAATAGGCAACAATTCTCTTGATCCATTGCCCTGCAGGATGCCTTCACAGATCAGTGGCACTATTATCAATAATATCTTGAGCTGAGGCAGGAATCTCTTTTTCATCAAAAACAAACAGAATGACAACCTGACAAATAGCACACTGAAAACATACAGCTGTAAGAAAAGGTAGGGGTGTGTGTTATTTTGTTTGTAGCATGAGGCTTTATTCTTCTTATTCATGCAACTTTTATATCACACATATTGTTAAATCTGCAGAATTTTATGGCTATTGTTCTTGCTGCAATAATTTTTCAAACCTGGAGGCACTATCATCCTTATTTGTCCAATAAGAGCATATTTGCTTTCCAGAGCTATTTTTATGTAGCACTTAGAACATGATATAAATAGCAATGCTACATTTTACCAATTCATCACACTGTTTGGGACATTTGTTTCTTTCGTTCTATCCCAGGAAAGCCAACTGAACTCTAGTGAAGATAGAGGGAAATATATTTGTTCTATATTGATAACACTAATGTTGATCTACACTTTACTGTTCCTCTGTGCCAATGGTAGCCATTTGCATTATTGTTCAGTGTGAAAAGCCAAACATCGATTTTTCTTTCTCTCCATATTTTTCACTGTCTCTTTTAAAAAAACTCTAACAATGTTTTATCTTCAAAACATCCTTTAATATCAAAATATTTTTATTTCTTTGATTGCAAGACCCATGGTTTAACATAGATTCTCTCACAGATTCCCTATGGACTAACCCACAGGCACAGAATTTTGTGCCTCCTTTCCATCATAGCCTGACTATACAGTCAATTTATATGTGCCATGGGCACTCCCATGTTATGTAACAGCTTTCTTGATTGCCCTTTCTGAGGAAGTTTGCCCCTCCCCTTTGCAAGAGTCCTGCATGATCCTACAGGATATATTTCTCTGGACCATGCATCAAAAGCTGCCACCAGCTCTATTATACAATAATAATTACTATCAGGAAGGAGTTTTCTCTAACAAGGATTTTGAGACATGTATGCTAGATTCTCTGGAGGTCAGGAAATGCCCATAACTTCATCTATACCCATAAGGGCAATAATGGTTCTCAAGCATTAAGCTTCTGCCTGCTTTCAAAATTTTAATACCAAAAGGTTTTTTTTAACTGATAACACACAGTAGAAAAACAGGAAAAACACAGGCAGTTTTAAAAAAGAAATCAGTCAGTAAAATAAAGGTAACTTCTATAACTGGCTTTCCTAGGTGATAGCTCAAGCCAGCCCTACAATAAATTTCTTCAGATGGGCAGAATGTGAAATTTTTCCACAGGTAACCAAGGCTTTTTCCAAAGGGATCCTTGCAGAGAAGAGGTTTAGTATCTGGGTCACTGGCCCAGTCAGTTTGGATGACACTGAACGAATTTAAAACAGTAATTTGGGATCTGCTAGAGTTAGCCAGACTCTCCTGGTCAGTTGCAGTGATGGTTATTAACTCTGATGCTAGAATTCACTTAATATGCTAAAAAGAGTTCCCTACTGAGGTTTATTATAAGATGGAAGAGTCTAGTCTGGTAGAGTTTTACCACTTCAAATATATGGATAAGTTATTAAGATAAAGGAAGGTAAATGCCATGGTAAGAGACCATTATTTTTGCATCTGACAAGCACTTCTGTCAAGCAGATTCTGGACAGAAGACCTATGCAGGCATTACCAACCATGCAGTCTTAATTGTGCTATCCACAGCTTTGCATGTCTCAAACCCTACCCCCCTGGAGGAAGATCAAAAGAGAGCAGCCTGCCCTACTTATGTAGGTTTAGCTCTCCTCATTGTGCAGGTTTCTAAATCACAGCACTGGGGAATAGGAAATCTAAATGCATGGAGCCCTCTTATGCTCCTTCCAGCTCCCAACTTATGGATGGTGAAGGGCAGAGCCCAGATGTGTGATGCACAGAAACAATGAAGAATAAGAGCAGGGCCAGCATGTGAGTCCTTGCTCTCTTTCTCATGTACAGAAGGAGTAGAAAGCCTGGTGACTTCCACATGTTTTCAACTCCAAGTCCCATATAGCTGGGACAGGGAAATTCAGTTCTCTGTTCGGCCCATGAAGGCTCTTTCTGTAGCTCTTACTACAAGCCCCGCTGCCTGTAGGCTACTGGACAAAGGAAGTCCTGCTGTTATTTCTGAACCCTGATGGCAAGGCTTCCTCTCAGAAAGCTGCTCCCCACCTCACCAGTTGGGACTGGAAACTGTACTTGAAGTACTTAACCCACCCTGTGCCCTCCCCACTGGGGTGTAAGGGTCAGGGCAGCAAAGCCTCCTAGAACAAACTAGTGCCCGGAGGACTGTTCCTCCAGCTGGAAGTTCAGCTGGGGTAGCCATGTCCATGCATGTGCATATAAGGACAAGTCCTCAACTGAGGTGATGGCAAGGGAAGTGCTCACCCACCATGTCCCTGATATGATGCACTAGACTGCCACACCTGATGGAGAGGTTAACACTGAAATCCCCATCCAGAGAGCTTCAGCAACCGGGCAATTCAAAATGTAATTAATTAATTTGAACTATGAAGGAACATTTTCTAGGGTTGGCAGTGGGCAGGCCACTGTAAGGGAGGCTCAGAGGGCAGCAACGGCGGGGGTGGGGTAGGCTCTCAGTGACAGACCCCCAATAGTAAAATGAACTCTATTCTGAGGGCATCCTTTCAGGGCAGGTTATAATGGCCTTCTATGCTGAGGCACTTAAAAACATGCACATAAATTTAATGGATTGAGGGGAATACCTATCCCAGGTGTTTTACAGGCTGCCTTTTGTATCATAGCAGTTTTTTGTTTTAGCAGTTCTTAAATAGTTTTGAAATCTTTATATTTTGGATTTTTAAAATGATTTTTCATTGCATCATCTACTTTATGACTTGCTGTTACCCGCCTAGAGACCTTCAGCTACTGGGCAGTACTGGGCAGTATAGAAATGAATTAAGAAGAAGAAAACCAAAAGTTCTGTGCATGCTTGTCCATTCTCCTTACAGATGCATGTTTATAGATGACGTATTATACCCAAAGTGAATCAAGACGTGCTTTTCCATTATAGTCTCTCTCTTCATAAATCACTGAGCTTGCCTTATCTCATTTCATTTTCCATTTGATAAGCAGCTCCTTCTTAGCCTAGAGCTAGTAGAGCTTGTAACTGGGCTGCTCACTCTCAAATAGGTTGTTATTAATATTTATTTTTATTGTGCACCACAAAAACAACCAAACCACACTATCAGAGAAGAGAGAGAGAGAAAAAAGAATAGAATAAAATAAACAATTACAATGTCTGAATAACATTTTTAAAAGATCAGTAACAGAAGCTGCATACATATATAATTATATTATCCCTATATATTAGTATATAACTGAACATAAAATATCATTTAAAATAATTTAATAAAATATGCTTCAATAAAAGCACCTCAAATATCCATGTATTTATTCATTTGTAAATTAGGTCCAAACACCACACATTCAAAAATTGAATGTTTCATTAAATCATCTCAAATTGGTTGTGCAATAGAAGCAAAAATAATGAAGCATGCTCATGATACCTCTGTTATTACATTTTGTAATGTCACATTCATATACTAATTTATAAAATAATGGCATACTTTTTAATAGCCCTCAGTTTGCACCATGATTTTATCTCAATAATATTGTTAAACAAGTCACTATAACTTCTGTTTTACAGCCTGTGAATGAATAGTGATGTTGGTTTGGATCCTGAGACCCATGAGATAGAAGAAGCCCATAGCTGGGAACTTTCCATTCCTTTCTCTCATATGGATCCTCACTGGGGCCTCTACTGGATTGGATGTAATGTGGAGCAATGTCAGGTTCTGCTTGGGAAAGGCAAAATGCAAGAAAATCATCCAGAGGCACCTTCCATGAATGAAGCTCCACTCACGCAAGGCATTTCTGCAGATTTTTATTTATTTATTTATTTATTTATTTATTTATTTATTTATTTAAAGTTTTTGTATGCCGTCCCCTTGCTATATAGCCTCGGGAAGGCGCACAGAAATAAATAAATATAATACAATACAGTTAAAACCCGGAAACAACCTGGCTGCACAATTAAAACCTATAAATATTAAACATGGTTAAAATATTGTTTGAATAAAAAGGTCTTAGCCTTTTAAATAAAAATAAATTTTGACCAATTTCTTCTTCTCTAGCAGCCTTTTCTTTTCTATCCCACAGGGGATGGGGCTCTGCCCACTCTTAGATATAATTTTTGGAGCCTGCACAGGGGACTGCAGTAAAGAAGAAGGAACATGACAAGCCACTTATTCTTGCACAGGTTGTGGAATCCAAGCCGCCAAAATTTTAATAGCATTTTTCTTTTACAAAAAACTGTATGGTGTTTAAAACATTTCATGTGCATCATCTTTTTTTTTTAATTCAGAGGTGCACAGAGTGCAGCCAGAGTGTTCTGATTTCCTTCCAGCAATTCACCTTCCCCACCCTGAATGCACTCTTGAAGTTGTGACCCTACTGCACTTCTATCACTATCAATCACCAACCTCCTCTCATTCCTGTGTGTGTGCCTGGGCGGGACCACTGACCTCCAGTCAGCATCACATACGCCCCTTTCAATTCAAATCTTACAACAAACCTGTAATGCAGATCAGTATTATTATCCCCAAACTGTGGATTGTGATAAGAGATTAAGGTTGAGAAAGACTGACTTGGCCTGCTCAGGAGTCTCTTATCTATTACAGACACTAGGTCTTACTTAAGGAGGAACTTAAACAGAGGGTGATATTGATGTTTTTGCCTTTTTCTTGGATATTACAGATGTAAGGCAGCAGTGATGCATACCGATCTGGTACAGCACCAAAGAGGTAACATGTTAAGAAAATGCATTCTTACAGCACTCCTCCTGGAAGCATACAGTTCCACCTTCCCAGGTCTCAAATCATGAAGTGTCTCTGGAGGAGGCATGGAGAAGAAATACTTACAGAAGGAAGAAGGGTAACAGCAAATGGCTTCTGCGTTAGCTTTACCATAATGTGACCCATGATATAAGGTAGCTATTATGCAGGAAAAGCTAGTGTGTTGTGAATACAGGACCACAGCACAGAAAGGAAGCACGCTGAGAAAATAGGGAATTTTGACCCCCAGACTTTACCCTTCAGCCACCAACTACTTTCATTACAAGTGACCAGATAAAACCCTCTTAATCTACCCTGATGAATTTTGGGACTCCTGAATCATGACTGGTAAGATTTAGGCAAAAGTAATTCATGTGACCTTTTTTCACTGTGATAAAAATGATTATATATTGAGTTCTGTAGACAGGTAGATATTTTGCACAACTTCTGCTTAGAAAGGAATCTCATAAATATCTATGCCATAATGATAAGCTCCAAGAAGTCTACACCTATTCCGTTTTAATTTCTAAAAGGTATTTTATACATTCAGCATTGAACTTAACTGACTTACTGCAATATCTGTCCTTGGATCTTTGTTTTCTGACAGGATGCTGGTGCGAACCTAGAAAGGAAGAAAAAAAAAAAAAAGGTTGTTCATGTCCTGAATAACCCAGTACTTGTAGCGGGATATGCTTCCTATAACATTCTATATTTTTTCCAGATATCATTTTCAAATGCTAATCATTTTTTTTCAGTAAGCTGGGATTCCAATCTATTTGCAAAGCAACAGGTTAGATGTTCTGAAATTCACCTGATATTACATTGTCAGTATTCTGAAAATGGCAGGGCCATCCATCTTTAAAATGTAGAAACTATGCCCAAATTCTCACCTAGTGTATGAGATTGTTCCACTTAGTAGCACAGCTTATAGTAAACATTTAATCCCCTGAGATTTGATGTGATTCTATCCACAGCAAGGGCACATACAAGCCTGACTCTACATATGCCATAGCCAGTCTGTGGGCAATCCATCTCTGTCCACAGGGACCACAATTCTCAGAGGCCCAGGCTGGCCACCACTCCCTTGCTTTCAGCATGTGAAACCAGGACTGTTCAATAAATGTTAAACAACTGAATGACAAAGTATCAAAGACTGTCTACTAACAGGATTCAAATTAACATCTGGTTTTGCTATGTAGTAACTTGCTGTCCACTGTGTCTATAATCTTCTTTAAAATCACTGCAAGAACTTTTCCTTTGGTTCTTAATTTTCAGAGAACCATGTATGCATATCAATAGCTAACAGTGATTAATAGTAAAAGCAAACAAGTTACATCTTGAACTGCACAAGTTGTTTTAATCATTTCCTACCTCTTAGGTTTTTCATTTCTATGCAGGTAATTCCTAGGAGCAAATCTGCAGATTACTTTAAGGACCATATTAACCCTAATCCTAACTACACACCCACTAACTGAACATAACAAGACCCAGTATTGGAAAGCTTCACACACCACCTATGTCTGCACTGGAGTTTTTCTGAGAATTTTTCACACAGCAGCTAGAACTCCCTCCATGTTTGCAAACTTTCTCAAGGAACTCAGGGAAGGCAGTATTTTACAGGTGATGAGCACTTTTCCTTTGATAAGTGGGATATAAATAAATATCATAAACATTAGAACTCTTCTCATCTTCTATCCTTACTTTTTCCCCTCAAAAAAATTCCTTCCCAACTTTCTTTCACCACTCAATCTCCCACACCTTTTACATCTACCTGCTTCATTGCTTTCTCTGCCCTCCCCTTGAAACTACTCCTGATTTGAAACTACTCACATTTTTTTCTGGGCATTATTACTACTTACTTATTACTTGCTTATTTACAAAGTACATCTTTATTTAATATTGAATGTGCTTTATCACTTAATATGAGGGCATCATTCATTTTAAAATAATGAATATGAGATAGACATATAACATAAATAAATACAATCTCAAAAAGGGTACCATCCAGCAGACATATATAAAACCTTGATAGGAATTAGCTACAGAGAATTTATTAAAAATATAAGTTATTAATGGCTGTCATGTTAAGTTATGTTGTGCATTAGATTTTTAAAAGGATGTCAGTTTAACCAACATTCATTGCCCTTACATTTTATTAAACCTTTCTATATTTTCCCTAGCTGAGATATGATGATGTATGCCTAATGAAAGATATTCCAGGCTTTTAAAAAACTATTTACTTTTTTTTACTATGGTTTTAAGATACTTCTTCCTACTGCTGAAGCGTAGTAGCGAAGAAGGCATATTATAGGACAGTGATGGCAAAACTTTTAGAGACCAAGTGCCCAAACTGCAACCCAAACCCTTTCGCGAATTGCCAACACTACAATAAAACCTGAAAACTGAGGTTTTAGTTTAGAAAAAACAACTCTCAGCCAGTCCAAGCAAATATATCTATCTATCTATCTATCTATCTATCTATCTATCTATCTATCTATCTATATCTCCTTGGCAGTGCACTGACCAGCCAGGCAAAAGCTTGGATGAGTTGCGGCTAACGAGACATGGCTCATGACATCATCGCCTGATGCCGCTACTAATTCTGAGCATGCTCATGGCCCCTGTGTGTGCTGTTATCCAATGCTCGACTACTGGGGCGATGCTGGGGCGACTTGGCTCTCATGCTGACAGAGAGGGCTCTGTGTGCCCACTGTGGGACGTGTGCTATAGGTTCACCATCACTGGCCTAACCCTACCTGGTGCCCTCCCCTAATCCTAATATAGGGGTAAAATACCTCTAAAAATAAAGTGATTTTGAAAAAGCCTTCCTTGAGTAGCTTTTTCTGCACAGCTCAACATTTCTGCCCATTCTAAACACATTCCAACCATCAAAATCATACCAGAACACCTCGTTTTTCTAACCCTAACCAAGTGATGGTGAACTTTTAGAGACTGAATGCCCAAACTGCAAGCCAAAACCCACTTATTTATCGCAAAGTGCCAACACTGCAATAAAACCTGAAAACTGAGGTTTTAGTTTAGGAAAAAACAACTCACAAGCCTGGCCAAGCATCTCTCTCTCTCTCTCTCCTTGGCAGTGCACTCACCGGCCATGCGAAAGCTTGAATGAATTGCAGCTAATGAGTTGCTTCTTGTGATGTCATCGCCTGGCACCACAACTCCTTTCCGAGCATGTGCATGGTCCTTATGTATGCTATTATCTGATGCCTGGCTGCTGAGGTGATGCTGGGGTGATTTGGCTTGCGTGCCAACAGAGAGGGCTCTGCGTGCCCACTGTGGCACACATGCCATAGGTTCACCACCACTGCTATAGGATCTAAAACATTTCTAAGTTAATGTCTTGTTAAAAGCACTGATTACCATTTTCAGTTTTCAATACTATTTGAAGGTTATGCGGAAACAAGGGGACCCAATGTGGTTCTCATGGGCCTCTGCAAAAAATTGTGTATTTTTTTTAATTTACATACATGTATTGTATGAAATGCATGTAGCTTTCCAGAAACTATACATAGTCTTCCACAAAAGCAGAATAAATACTGAAGTATCCATTTGAAGTGGGCGCCTATCTGCTTCCCTGTTCATATATCAAAAGCATTTAAATTCTCCAATCTATTTCATTATCTCAGGTGTTTATCCTTCCAATTTTGTAATATCATTTAACTCTCAAAAGAACTCAGAGAATCCATTTCCCTTTCCATTTATTAATTTTCATGAAGTAGGTGAATAATTTAAAACTGGTACATCAATGAATATTCAAGACTTTTCTGGGGAAAGTTTATCTTTGTAAGAAGTTCTTCCTCAAAAGAAGCGACCAGTAGACGTTGCCAAAATTTATGTTTAAAAGAAGCATTAACTGTTTTGCACACCAAGAATTAGATTATCTAGTTGAGTCCCTTATTAAAGAGACACTGCAGTGTACAATAGACAAAGAGTTTTTGCTGAATAATAGGCAGCTAAATTCTATGGACATGACAGAATAGATACCAATCCAGGGAACCACTGAAAGGTGTTTTGTGGTGATATCCACAGCAGTTTCTCAAATTCCCAAATGTATCCATGAGGGCAAATTGGGGACCCATACACTGGACTGTGTGACAGTTATTACTTACTTTACACAAAATATTCCCACAGTAAATTGTTTCTAAGATGGATCATTTTTAACTGAACCATCACAGTAAATGGGTCAGAGGTATTATGAAGTAGGGCACTTTAATTGAAGCCTTTTTTATCCTCAATGAGTGGGAAAAAATGTGAGATTCATCACCAGTATCCTCCAACTGGAGAGATTTGATACAGTGTAAAAGAAAAGAAGTTCTGGTGTACTATGCATGGATGGGTATAGCGGTGCCTTTATTAATGGACTCAACATTGACAAAGGATCATTGTACAACCTTGTGAAATAGATTAGGCTGAGAGTCTGTGACTGGCCCAAAGTAATCCATTTGGCTTGATGGCTGAGCAGGAACTAGAACCCAGATCACCTTAGTTCCAGACCTGTGTTTTTAACTACTATACTACACTGGCTCTCACTAGGGATTTTCAAAATTAATTCCATTTTGTGTAGACTTGCTTTGCTAATTTAAAACTGTTGAGAGGTTTTAAACATGTTATGTACAAGCTTATATTACCTTCTGGACTGATGAAATTTTTGCTTAATTGATTTCCTATGAGAGTTGTTCTTTTAAAGGGTTGGTTTTATTGAACAGAAGCTGTGATACTAGAGGCATGCTGTCCATGATCTTCTGAAATGTAAAACTCTTGTTTCTCATTTGCCAACAAAGTATCACTCTTCCTCTTTTGTCAAGGCTAAACCCCCATCCTAACCCTTAAAAGTCATCATTTACATTCAGCATGACTATATATCCACCTGAATTGCAGTAACTCATATATTCCTCTAGGTACAATCAGATGCCTATTCAAGCTGTATCAATCACAACTCATTCTTAGGTAAGACCAGACATAACAGACACCTCCAAACCAGCTCATATCTATGGAAGAGATCTTATGTGTATCCCATGTAAAAACATCTTTCAAATGGGGACGGATACCCATCCAAATTCCATATACCAGCATTTTACAGTTTCTAAACCCAAATGTCCATCCGTATAATTTTTGAAGTACCTTACAGTAAATTCATTCTTTTGGCCAAGGCAAAACATACGCCCAAATTCCAAGATGTCCATATGAGTTTCCAAGGTCATTCTGCTTATTTGCTGAACGTCAAATGTCCACCCAAATCCCAACTTTTACAATTCAATTTTAACCACTGTCTGATAATCATTCAAATGAAATCTAGCCCAATTTTATCTCCTGTGTCCAAGGCCATAGGCCAATCTTCATGCCTCTTTCCTTTTGAAGCATCCAGATGCCTACCATCACTCCACTCATTTGGGCCAAGTCAACTGTCCATAAGAACCCTCCACTTCAGTCAAAGCTAAATGTCCATCAAGCTATACTTTCAGTCTCACAGATAATCCACTTTTTGGACAACTGAACTCAAACTCCATGCTTCCTTTTTGTCTAAGTCAAGATGTCCATCCAGACCCCTAACATTCCATGTATCTTTATCAGATGATAGTCACCCATCCAAACGGTTTTAGT